CTTCTTTTTTCATTTATTTCTGTTTTTTTTCTCACTCAGCCACTGTAGGGAGGATCTTTTTATTTCTGTTCTGGCTATAATCCCCCTTCCAGAGAAAGTTCAACTATTTGCTTCTCATCAGGAGCTTTTTACCCTTTGCAGTCTGTGATCCTTCTAAAAAAAAAAGAAAATAAAAGTTCAACATTAGAATGAAATGTTCCTGAATCCTTTCCAAGCCATTAAGCTGGAAGCGTTGCTGTTTCCGTCCACACCCATGGTACACCGACTGCATCGTGTTGCCAAAACAAGACCCTAAAATCTGCCTGATTATTCACTCTCTCTCTGGTTCCCTTTAGCGGCCATCTGCTGGTCCGAGTGTGTGTGTGTGTGTGAGAGTGTCTTCAGTCCAGACGAAGGTTTAAAAAAAGGATTGGTGAGAATGAGGCACCTTTTAGATCATTTTAAGGTCATAATTGGAGCAAAATGTTCCAAGCAAAGCGGTCTGGTCCATCTTATTCAGTCAGGAATCTCAGGTAGACCTTTTTCCTCCTGCAGGTGGATTAAAGCTCCAGTGGGACTTTGTTGACATCCGACCCATTCAAACCAGCTCATCTTCCAGGATGTTTTGCTGACGATGTTCTTCCTAGACTACAAACACTCCTCCTGCCCCCCCTTGGATGGTTGTGCAGAGGCAGAAGGACACACACCAGCCATGGTTGCCCTCAAACCAGCGAGGCCTCGGCTAGTCATAACTCTGTGATCTCCAGGGGACTCTCCGACAGGGTGTCCCCATCCTTGTGACGGTGCATCGGGGTGGATTTAGCGGACTCCGTGCGGGCGTTTCTCTCCGAGTATAAACCGTTGTCGGCGTTCAGCGCCTCCAGGGAACGGGCCAGAGCCCGCTGGTCGTCCTCCGGCAGGCTGTTGAGGTCTGAGGTCAGGAGGGTGCCTGTGCTGCCGTGGACCACGTGCACTCCATCAGGTCCCTTCAGCTCCACGGGGAGCTTGTGCTTGAAGCGCAGATTGCCGTGTCCGCCACCCAAACCCAGGTGATCGTCCTCGTCGTCGTCCAGATCGCTCTGGATTAGCTTTTAGAGATAGAAGAGAATCAGTTAAAATGAGAAACGGTGGTGATGCGCTCTGAGAGGAAAACGGCGCCTTTCTAAGTCTTAAGCTTTTCTATATCAGGCCAAAATAAATCTACTCTGTTCCTTTCATGGTTTTACTGATCTGTAAATTTGAGCGTACAAAACCAGATAACCAGGGGTGGGTTTAGGAAATTTGGGGCCCTAGGCAAAGACAGGCAAGGGAGCCCTCTGAATTAAGAAGACAAAACATAAAACAGACCCATTATACAGATACAGAAATTTTAATATAATAGACATTATCTGTTCTACATTTTGTCCCTTTTCTTGTTTTCCTCTGTTTTGTACTCAAAAGGAATGAAACTAAGCTTGCTTAACCGATTTGCTCCTTCCTGTGTTTCCAAAAAGGCGACGGCCAAAGTAAATAACCCAGTCCTTCTTTTTCACTGTAAACAAGCCATGATCTGCTTATCTGTTCTCCACTTTTCATTTGGATGAAATAATAGCTGCATGAATCATGACAGCAGACAAGATAGAGGAGAGCAGGAGGCGGGGGTACCAATCTACTTGCTCTGGAGAGCAGAGTTCGCTACTTTTAGATGCTGTCGCCAAAGTCTCCAGTAGCAGAAAAAAGGCACTAGATTTGGCGCTAGGCGCTTTTTTGAAATAAAAGCGCTAGATGGGTCTGAAAAGTTGCTGAATACACCTGTGCCTGAGACACTCTTAATATTATAAGCATTCTGATGGCGTTTTAATTAAGGGATTTTTATTAAAAACATAATGTGCACAAATAAGTAATGGCTGTATGGAAAAGGAGTTTTATGGGGCCCCCAGGAACTATACAATGTAACAGATTCAACATCCCTTATTTTTAAAACAAAGATGAAGTCAGGAATAGGAAAACAGAATAATTTGCTAACTGGGAGTGTTGGCCTAGTGGTTAGAGCAG